CGCCATGCCAGATCAGTCCTGTGTGCTGGCTCTGGTCTGGAATGGGCCCCAAGCCACCTCTGTGCACTGAAGTCAGTGCATGGGGACAGTCTCATCACCAGTTACCACACACAGCCTACACCTTGGATAGCTTGCACTGTATGCAGTGCTAGATCCAGCCTGCACATCACATGCACTGCAAGCCCTGGAGCAGGGCTGGCTCATGTTGCATGCAGTATATAAGCTGGACCATGTGCCATGGGCATTGCTACTGGCACAGGGGGTTGGTCCCAATCCAACCTGCAAACCTGTCCAGTGACTCATCCAGGAGGAAGGGTTTGACACCCCTGAGGTATATCCTATATCCAAGTTATGCCTGGTTAAAACACAATTTATGTCAGCTTCCTCTTCAACCTAGCATTCAAGGTCCAGTGAAAGTAGACACATGAAACTCTTTCGAAAAAAATATATAAAACAGAGCACTTTTCACAATTATCACTAAGGCAGATGACTGTAATGTGTCTTTCCATTCTATCTATTACAATGCAGAGCTTAACCTACTATGGCAAAGCAACTCCAATAAGCAGTAAATGTCTGCATATGACATTTGATGTTATAGTAACCTTTCACATGCAGAAGACAGAAGATTCAAAGCATGAATGCATGTTTTAATATTTTGTTTTACTACATTTTGTGCAAATCTTAATACATATTTGTAGGCTTTGAGTAACTTGCACATGCACCAATAAAGTCACTTAATGGAAAGGGGGGAAAAAGGCTTTTGGATGCACAAACTGCATTTTACCAAACTTTCAAAAACATGTCCCAGAGATTTTGAATGGGCAAAAGAGAAGGCAGGAACTACTAACAGGTGTGCATCTTCAACTGCAACCATAGTATTTGACATGTATCTCTATATATTTTAGTGGCCCAGCAGCAAAAGTATGTTCAAGCCAGCATACTTTAACTTGAACACACTGTGGGAACTCTCTGGGATCATGACCAAGGTGAAGATTTCTGGACATGAAGTAGATTTTAGCAATAAGGTGCTGCTTACCCAACCACATTTGACCAGATTTAGGGAAACACTAAGGGTTGCTGCCCAAGCAACACAGTATTTCAGACTTGCAGCTGAGGAAAACTATCACAAATTTCCCTATAGCCTCACTGATTACAGCTGCAGACAAAGTAAAAACCTACAGGTTTATGGACAAAAGTTGAACTGAACTTGAGAAAACTGATGTGTTAAACCTCAATATCCTCCTGCTTGGGCCTGGAACTCTGTTTCCCAACAGATCAGTGATGGGATAAATAAACTACAGGGAATGCTAGAAAGCAATACATGATTATAGGAAAGGATCTGAAGGGCAGAAAATAGATTTTTAAACTGTACAGGTTATAGATTATGAGAGCAAGAGGACAATCTCACCTAGTCTTTTATATTTTTCCACATTGTGGAAAAATGGACTTTCCTTCCAGGAATCATTGCACAATTTGGTCATAAGATATGAAGAAAAAAGACAAGATTAATAAAAAAAAATAAGATAAGGGGAACTAGATTTAAGTTAAGAAGTGCTTCCCTGGTTGAGAGAAGTATATATTTTCAAAAGTGTTGCCTGTCACTTAGAAACATAAAAATGAGACAGTTCTAACAATAACATCAGCAGCTGTAAAAATACCGACTTGTCAAAGAAGTTTCTAAACACCACAGCTGTTCAATTAAATGCAAAATATATTTTCCCTTTTTTCATTCTGTCCTTGAATCCAAAACACAACATTTCACATTATATTTTTGAGCTGGCTGCCACCTTGTGGCACATATTCAGAAACACTTTGAGGATTGTTCTCTATAAAATGCACAATAAATGTAAAAACTGGAAACAAAAACCTGGGATACTACATGTCTCTCTCTAAGGCCCCTGACAGATGTTACATTTAAGATGTAATTAACTAGTCAATCATATATTAAGTAGTAACCTGGTCACAAGTTAGTTCAATTGGCATGATAAAACAAGGAATAAGCCACCAAGTTATTACACAAAAAAGTGTGATAACTGTGTGGTTGGTTCCTATTGCACCTTCACTGAATGTGTGGCCAGAGCTCCCAGACTCTGAAGAACACCAGAGGCTCTTTCGAGACTCCTGTGGGCTCCGGTGGCTGGGAATGCTGGTCAGCTGATCAGGAGTCTAAACTAAGGGAGTGCATAATGCAGTCCTGTGGCTGGAAGCCCCAACCAGCTGATCAGAGCTCCCATGCACCATGCACTCCCCTGGTTAGGAGCCCCAGTCAGCTGAGAGGCACTTCCAGCTGCAGGAAGCACATGGAGCCTTTAGCTCCAAGGCACTCCCCTGGCTGGGAATGCCCCTTAGCTGACTGGGGACCCAAAGTAAAATCAAGATCCAAGAACTATTTATTCATAGACTAAGAAATATTTTCAGCTGGGTTTGTTACTTAAATATGCCAAATTATTTAGAAAAAGGAATTTGACTTTATTGCAATTGTCAAGTCCTTGCCAACACTTCTAAAAAAAAATTTTTAAATATGTCCAAGATTTCCAAGAGGTCATTTCATTAAGTCGGCTATACTCATGGACGTCAGTAAATGCTATTCCATACCACTCAGTACCAGGAGGAGGATCCTGCTTCTCTTTGCCCAAATAATAGATGCTTTTGTGAAATTCACTAGATCACAAGCTATTTCATGTAAGCAGTTCTATTGCCATGACAGAGAAACAGGTTACTTTTTTGCATCAAGGGACATGGAAAAGAGTTATATTTTAGGTGCATCAGTAAACAGAACTGGTTTTAAATTCTGTGTGAGAGAGTGTATGCACACACATATATAGGAACACAGTATTCAGCCTAGGATCTCAAAAAATTGAAAAGCAGTCCTATATTACAATAGGTCCCTTCTAGTCTCAATGAGCTACTGCTTTTGACTAAGTAAAAGAGGAAGATAAATCATATGAACTTTGCGATGATACCTGCTGAGAGTCTGGCCATTGGTTGTCTTAGAAGTAACACTGCCACCCATCACTATTACAGTAAAAGCTTTGTTATCTGGCACCCACAGGGAATGGAGGGTGCCGGCTAATAAAATATGCCTGTCCCGTCACGTCTGGGGTGTTGCTGCCCCTCCCGCCATGTTGCCGCCCCTCCCGCAGGCTCTGTGGGCTCCGAAGGACAGGGAGGGGGGACCCGCACAACCTGCTATGCCCCCAGGCCTTGGGGGCTCAGCAGTGCAAGCAGTTTTCCCCCGGGCCGTGGGGGATCTGTGAAACTGGAAGTGTTACAGTGGGCACTTCTGGTTTCACTTTCCCCTTATAAGCCAGCATGCTGGTTAACAGAGCATGCTGGCTTGTAAGGTGCCGGTTAACACAGCTTTTGCTGTATATTGAAGTGGCACCCAAATAAAACAGATTGACAGAAGAGCCTTTGTGTACTTCATGGAATGTGTGGCTTCTCTCCCCTCTGGGATTACAAGCTCTGTTGAGGGGATAGAGTTTTCATAGATTCACTGATTGTAGTCGGAAGGGACCACAATGGATCGTCATGTCCAACCCCCTGCCCCTGGCAGGAAAGAGGACCGAGTCAGATGACCTCAGCCAGGTGACTATCTAGCCTCCTCCTGAAGACCTCTAAGCTAGGTGATAGCACCACCTCTCTTATAGATTCATAGATGTTAGGGTCAGAAGGGACCTCAATAGATCATCGAGTCTGACCCCCTGCATAGGCAGGAAAGCCCTTGGGCTCTTGGAAGCCCATTCCAGATCCTGGCCACCCTTACTGTGAAAAATTTCTTCCTGATCTCTAACCTAAATCCACTCTCAACTAGTTTACACCCATTATTCCTAGTCACTCTCTGGGGCGCCTTAGTAAACAGTGCTTCCCCTATTCCCCATTGACCTCCCCTAATAAATTTATAGGCAGCCACAAGATCTCCCCTCAGCCGTCTCTTGTGAAGGCTGAAGAGATTCAGGTCTCTCAACCTCCCCCCGTAGGGGCTATCACGAAGGCCACTAATCATGCAAGCGGCCCTCCTCTGGACCCTCTCCAGATTCCCCATGTCCCTCTTGAAGTGCGGTGCCCAAAATTGGACACAGTACTCCAACTGCAGCCTGACCAGTGCCGCATAGAGGGGGAGCATCACCTCCTTTGATCTGTTCGTCATGCACCTGCTAATGCACGACAAGGCGCGATTGGCCTTGTTGATGGCCTCGTTACACTGCCAGCTCATGTTCATCTTGGAGTCAATTATGACTCCAAGATCCCTCTCTGCCTCCGAGCTGCTGAGAAGGACACTCCCTAACCTATAGGTGTGCTGGGGGTTTCTCCTTCCCAGGTGGAGTACCTTACATTTATCTTTATTAAATTGCATCCTAAAAATGATTAGATTTAATCTCCTCTAGAAGTTCTTTACAAAGCCAGATCCTGCTAGCTTTGCTCCTAACCCCAGAGATCCTTCTCAGCCCTGCCCTTCAACCAGGAAGTAAAAGCAGATTTTGACAGGGAAAAGCTGAATTCAAATCATACTCATATTTATTTGCTCTCTTAACACTGTGCAGTATATTAATGATCAAAAGAATTTGAATTTTTGAAATTCTGTCCTATAAAGTTTGTCTTATACACCAATTTCTTCAAATGCCAAAATTATTACACAATTAAAATGGAAATCATGTCCAGTTACCATATTACTTTTTAAAGGTTTCATCATATAAAAGGACCAAAAGTCACTAGCAGAACTGAACTGACAGATGCTAGAACGCCAATAAGTGGTTTATCATTGATTGCTTTTACTGCACCTAAGAAATTATATCATAAAATACCCTACTGAAATGTTTGGCGAAGCACAAAGAGGCTCATGAACTGTAACAATCTCTACTAGTTTCAAAATTTATTGCAACTTCAAGACAGAACTAAAACATTACAGTTATGAATGAACCTGAACCTTCAAAGTGTGGTTTAGTTCCTTTCCTAAATTGTAAAAATTGTGTTATAATGTTAGAAAAGAGGATACTTACCTTGCTCTGAAGTTGCTGCGTTTTCCACTGGCAGCTCATAACCATGGCTCCTTTTCTCTGAAGTAGACACTGAAGAGAGGCTGCCAGAGGTGCTGCAGTTCCAACCAGTAGCACCTTCTTTCCATCTATAGTTCTATCTGCTTGATAACATACAAACCATTGGTCATTTGCACCGTCTGCAACAGTAAGAAATTTACTACCAAACTCCACTGGTGCAGGGAACTCACCCATAGACATTCATTTAAAATGACTTCTGACTTTTTTCCTTACTATGTAACAAGGTTTGCAGAAGCCAGAACTCAATATAGTGCCTTCAAGCTTCAGTAGATTTACAGTAAATTTGAAGAGGCCAAACAAACACTACAGATGAGATAACAAACAAATGTGGGTTTCAAGTGACCTAAGGTTGAGGAGGACCGGGTTAGAGTGCTTCTGGAGGGGCTGGATGTGTTCAAATCAGCAGGTCCAGATGCTCTCCACCCCAGGGTGTTGAGGGAGCTAGCAGGGGTTATTGCAGGGCCCTTGGCATGGCTTTACGAGCATTCGTGGTGCTCGGGCCAGGTGCCAGATGATTGGAAGATAGCCACTGTGGTCCCCACCTTCAAAAAAAGGGAGGAGGAAGGACCCGGGCAACTATAGGCCCATCAGTCTTACCTCAATCCTGGGGAAACTCTTTGAGAAGATCATCAAGGAGCACATCTGTGATGGGCCGGCATCGGGGATGATGCTCAAGGGCAACCACCATGGTTTCATTAGGGGCAGGTCATGTCAGACCAGCCCCTTTGCCTTTTACGATCAGGTCACAAAAGCACTGGATGCAGGTGTTGCCGTGGATGTAGTCTTTCTGGACTTCAGCAAGGTCTTTGACACTGTCAACCACCCCATCCTCATTAAAAAAACTAGGTGACTGTGGCATCGATGCCTACATGGTCAGATGGATTGCAAATTGGCTGAAGGGTCATACTCAGAGGGTGGGGGTGGACGGGTCATATTCGACCTGGGGGGAAGTGGGCAGAGGAGTCCCCCAGGGCTCGGTCCTTGGGCCCGCACTGTTCAATTTCTTTATCAGTGATTTGGACGACAGGGTGAAAAAGTAACCTGTTCAAATTTGCTGATGATACCAAAATATGGGGTGAGGTGGGCACGCTAGTAGGGAGGGAGAGACTGCAGAAAGACCTGGATAGGTTGCAGGGGTGGGCTAACCAAAACAGGATGCGTTTCAATACGGACAAGTGCAGGGTGCTGCACTTGGGCACTAGTAACCAGCAGCACACTTATAAGATGGAAAACTCTCTTCTTGAGAGCACGGAGGCAGAAAGGGATCTTGGAGTCATCATTGACTC